TGCTTACAACTAGCGAGTATGAAAAATGCCTAATATTTCCTTCAAACTTTGCTTTTCTGACCAGGATAATGACATTTCTGAAATTTCCCTATTCCCATTAAGAAAACTGATGAATGTGAACATTCTCGTTCAAATAAAGTAAGAACAAAACGACAAATGATTCAAAAGTAGAATTTATTTATTCTAGGATTATATAAGAAAGACCACAAAAATTTAGAAGTGAATAGTTTTTCGCGATTTACGCATATACTGTAAATTGCTTTTATGAATCAGTCTCCAAATCTCGTCTCCTATCGTGTTTTCGTTATACGATCCTTGGCAGCGGCGTTCAAACTTCCATATATCCTGGTGGAAGTGTTCGCCTTACTCCTCTAAGTCCACCCCGACGTTCTCCTTGTATTTATCAAGATGAGCGTCAAGGATATGAACATTGAGGGACACCCTGCAGCCCATTTTTCCGTAGTTCTTCACCGGTGTTTCAACATGCTCCATATAGTATTCGGCCTTGTGATTCCCCAGGAAGCACTGAACTACAGCGACAAAGCTGTTCAACGCTGCTTTCTTCGTTCTAATGAGCTTATTTGGGAATTCTTTGCACTTTATGATTTTATTTATTTATGGTCCGAAGAAGACATCGGCTTTAACTTTTGCTTAGGGAAAGAGTCTTAAAAGTACTTGATGGGTGCAGACTGCTTATCTAGAGGTGTGGCAAATTGTTTCATAAAGCATAATTTTAAGTGCAATGGGGGAATCAATACTTTCCGAGGGTTCAATAGTGGCTCCCACTTGACGTTGTTCCATCCCCACACTGAACTCTGTCCGCTATGGACAGTCTCACCTGTAACCTCGCTATCCCAAAGGTAAAGATAACTTGGTAAAGACGCTTTGGAAATTTATCAGGAAGGCCAACTTTTTGAAGTCTCCGATAATCACCAAACCGTAATCATCATATTTCAAGGCATCTAGTAAGATATTGGCACTGCTGTATTCCTTTTTTAGATGCACCGAGTGAACCGGGTAAAGAAATAGATACATGTTCCCGTTACTCCTAGATGAGATGCCGATGAAGAGATGTCATTCGTTGGAGTTACAGGCGGTTCCAATAGCCTCGAACAGCCCGGAAACATTGTGCAGAATTAAAGCCTATCTTGACAGGTGTAGAGACTTGAAAAACACTGCTGTTGCTTTATCTGCGACTAGCCCACTTTTATCTAAAAAAATCCACTGCTTTAATCTCAACGTCAAAACCTTGGCATTGGATTTTGCGAGACCAAAATCCCTGATCAGGTCGATGACGTCATTTTGGTTAGGGGTAATATAGGTTTCTCTCCTCAGCTGTGCCTCTTTAATCTGGATCAATGACTTCACCCTTTTCTGAATTGCTGTTCTTTTATGAAGATGGCTGCTCTCTCATTGGAGGAGTGGGTACAGGGAGGTCAGGGCAGTGTGACACTGAGACGATGGATGACAGAAGCTATGGATATATGATAGCAGGTCATGCTTGCCAGTTCGGCGTTTGGAAGAGTCCGCCATGCAGAAGAAGCACTTGCTTGACAGGTCAGTTGGCTCGCTTCAAAATTGTGGGATTTCGAATTTCATGGCTCTTTATTCTCCTCTGTATCATCCTGCAAAAGAACAAAATGTCTTTATATGTGTATAAAAATACAAATATATTTCACACGCTGTTATTTAAAAAGTCTAAAAATTCATATTTTTGATTTTTGAAATTTCTAGAAATCATGCGCTGGATAAGGAAAATTCTGAGTTTGGACCCCAATTAATGTAGCAAATATCACAAAAATATGGAATCTGAATATCCCTAATATTCTGTATTTTTATAACTTTTGCCAGTGATGTAGTATAAAAAACATCCATTATAATGTGGACACTAATGCGTAATTGTTGAAACATATTCAATACCTATCTTTCTATAACATTGTTTTTTTTTTTAAAGTAAAAACTATTTTAATAAAAAAAAGCCAAACTTTTACATTTAAAAATTCCATTGTCCAAACACGTAAAACTTTTCATCTTACATTCTAGAGTTCTTTTGCAGAGTACAAGGGTGAAATGAGGTGAGCCAGGGTTTGTCTTGATACCCGACAGGCATGCCGAAATATGCCTTGTAGATCTCACACATTTGAGCAGATGATGTCACAGTGTAATTTTTCGCTTTTGTCTTAATAAATCCGTCACAGACATAGCAAAATGGACAATCATTAGGACTATACAGCTGATTTAGACTTTCAGAAGGAACCGGAAACCCAATCTTAAACAGGAAACAAGGGATAAGCCTCTACTCCTGTTCAAAAGACAGGGGAGGAGTGTGAACTGGACGATAAGCCAATCTATCCACTCCTATTGGTCGAGGAGAGAGAAAAAATGAAATAAATAATTAAAGCAAATAAATCTACAAAATGGTCCAGTGTGGTAAAAAAAATCTACTCATGTTATGGTAAATAACAGACATGCGCCTGAACTTAATGAAATAGACAATGGTAGTGAGAGTCGTTATTTAAATGTAGGATTTTACAACTGATTTTTCATAGAAAGTATCAGAGAAACATATCAGAATACTAATACAATGCAATCTTAGGAAAAATGGCATGGCTTTCAGTTAGTGGTTATATTTTGAGTCTATAAGTCCACATAAATAGTATCTATATTAGAGTCAACGCCGGATTTAGGATAAATGTGGCCCTGTGCTAACTTAAGTTATGAGGCCCCTTATTTGGCCCTAAAATGGGGAAGTCATGGAAGGAAGATGGGAGACCCTTGTTTAGCACCTAATGGAGTCAATCGAGGTAGACATATGTCGTGTTTATACTTTAGCATATGGGAGAGGCGTATATTATTTTCAGATTTGAAGCAGGAAGACAGTTTTTATCAATTGAAAGTTGGCGCAACAGATATTTTCCATTTGCATTTCCTTCCTTTGCGATGTTAGCAAAGATTAGTAAAAGATCGATAAGACCCAATGACAAAATATAGAAGATTATTTATTTCTTTTTTCTTTTAAGACGTGAGTGGATCTATCTATCTATCTATCTATCTATCTATCTATCTATCTATCTATCTATCTATCTATCTATCAGTCTGTTCGTATCTATCTATCTATCGATTTTATACTGTTCATAAGTCTGTTCCCATCTATCTAAATGAATCTATCATATCAGTCTGTTAGTATCTATCTATCTATCTATCTATCTATCTATCTATCTATCTATCTATCTATCTATCTATCTATCTATCTATCTATCATCAGTCGTCGACTTTTATATGAAGCCCATGAAATGAATCCAGGGGGCATGCTGGCATCCGTCGACCGAGGGGGCATGCTGGATCGGGTGCTCAGGGTGGTGCTTTGTGTCCCTCCATATCTTATGAACATTTGCTAGTCTTCTATCTATATTTATATACGTTACAAATTAAACTAAAACTAACCTCAACTGACTATTAAAGGATGAAAAAATAATTACATCAATCCGGATTCTTTTTTCATCCAAATCCGTGAATTTGTTTTTGTACGTGCTGAGTCTCGCAAAACATACAAAATTCATTATTTTTTTATCCCTAATGTTGAATGTATTAAAATTATTCAATTTTTTAACAAGAAAATGTCTAGCTGATGTTAAAAATTGCCGCAAAATATTGTTGATTTATCACAAACGGAATGGTTAATTATGACATATCTCTATTAATTTGTATTTAGATAATTTAAATAATAAGGATTTATATAAATATTTATATAAATAATAATGATTTATTATGACATGTCTCTAATTTGTATTTCGATACATTGTGTTTATTTTCAATTTTTCTAGTTGAATTGTTCACCTGTATTGCATATGGTCTGTTATTGTACATAATTAGGTTACAATAAAATTTGTATTTTATACGAATACTACTTTATGAAAATTGAGATATAGTAAAGAGGGGGGGAGTGCACAAAACCCTTGTACCAGCCCTATCTCTGGTATTTTCTATGAATATTTTGATGGAAATTCTTCTAATGAGCTTTCTTTATTGGTACCTTGATTTTACAAATTTAAGCGTAGTACTAGATTGGTAGATAGGTCTCCTCATTTTAAAGTTGAATGTATTAAAATTATTTAATTTTTTTGCTAGAAAAATCTCAAGTTGCTGTTAAAAATTGCCTGAAAACGTTTATTTAAGAATGAATGATTTATTATGACATGTCTCTATTAATTTGTATTTAGATGCATTGTATTTATTTTCAATTTTTCTAGTTGAATTGTTCACCTGTATTGCATATGATCCATTATTGTACATAATTAGGTTACAATAAAATATGGATTTTATATGAATGCTACCTTATGAAAATTGAGATGTAGTAGAGTGGGGGGTCCCTGTATCATAGATTGGGGGTGGGTGGCACGATACTCATGCACCGGCTCTGACTCCAGGTGTCCCCGCTCATACCCACTTTCTGCTTGATATTATTGATATGCCTAGGAACATTCTCAGATCTTTTGTTAATATCGATGCATATAGCACCATGGTTTATGGTTGCGTCGTCTCTGATCTAGCTTTAAGAGTTCAATGGGGAAAACTGGCTTGTAACATTTAATATCTACAAAACCAAATTTTCCATCACCACTGAGCTGACCCTGAATTTTCTCATTTTTTCGTGAATGGCTCTTGGGGCATTGTATTGGATAAGCTTTCAGTGAAACATATTTGATATTACCTCGCACTGTAAAATGTTATTGTTATGGCCTTGTTAGGGCCAGAAATAAAGACGCATGAGAGGAATTGAGTTTTAATAAATATATTAACAGAAACAGTGATACAAATATATACAAACAAGAGTGTTACAGCAAGAATGTTCGGCGCGTCTGTCAGAGCTGACTGCTGGAAACTTCCCTTTGCAAAAGGCAGTACCTGCTCCTATTTATAGTTGGGAGAGTCCATGCGTGCATAGGTAAATTACCATAAAACTAATCTACTGAATTTTTTATATGAGTTAGACAAGTGTATCATGAGAGAGAGAGAGAGAGAGAGAGAGAGAGAGAGAGAGAGAGAGAGAGAGATGAGACTGTTAGGAAGCTGTTTGGGATTTTTTTTGTTTTAAAGTTCTGTTGTGGCCTTGCTAGGGCCAGAAATAGACATAAAGAATGGAATTGAGTTAAACAAATATATTAACAGAAACAGTAATACAAACATATACAAACGAGAGTGTTGCAGCAAGAATGTTCGGCCCGTCTCTCAGAGTTGAGTGCTGGAAACTTCCCTCTGCAAAAGGCAGTACCTGCTCCTATTTATAGCTGGGAGAGTTCATGCGTGTGTGGATAAATTACCATAAAGGTGATCATTGTCAGTTTCTTATCGGTCAAAGTATAAAGTGCTAGCTAATTCTTTGGGTCCCTTTTACTGCTATAGGTCAAATATCCTAGTTTTAGAACAATTAAGATATTATGCAATAGGTTTGATTTAGTGTGTGTTTTTGTTTTCTTCTATTGAAAACTTGAAGTCTGGAAGGAACAAAGGCTGTTTCCTGAGCTGAAAATATGTTTGAGATCCAATGATACAGGCAGTATATTTACTTGAAGGGGTGGGGAAATCCCCTTAAAAACGCTATGTATCCCACTCCAATGTCGTCCTTTGCTCCTCGCCAATCTCCTCAAATCACGAGCGACTGAAATTAAATACTTAAGCGTTTGCTGATGACAGCTTGACTAGGTGCATGCTTTATTTATTGGGAGAATAATGTATGTTAGATCCAAAACATCCAGCATCTTTGGAGCATCCAAACTTACTCAGCCAAGGGAGCGTAAATTTTAATTATTTTTAATTACTCACAACGCTACGAGCATAATTTTTATCAATTTGATCCCAAACCAGACATCTTTTTACAAGTTTGATAAACCACAACTGAACATATATTAATGCCTCCTTGATCCATTCAAACCAAAATCCCGGAAGGGTAATTTGAACCAGTTAGATCCATAAAATCGGTTTTATCGATAGACCATCCTGCGTCCAGGATGCTTTATTTGTAAAGGCTTCATCCATACCCCTTCCTGCTTCTTGATATTATCATTTACAGTAGTTCAATCCTTACTACAACCCATTCATTCTTATAAGTTCTATTCATACACCAAGTTAAGCCACGGCACAATCATTAGTAACAGCTCAATGAAAACCGTATCATAAGAATCCTTTATGGCAGTTGAAACCCAAGATTTTAAATTTATGACAGTACTATTCACTCTCCACCCAGCAACTTGGGGGCCTCATTTGTACAGATTCCATCCGTACCCGAACCCAGAGTAAAGAAGTTTCTATTTTTGTAAAATCCATTCATACCAAGCAAGCCAATAAAGCCACTAAGATGTAAGGGGTTGCTGAGAGTGAATAAAAAAAAAAAAAACAAACAAAAAATAACAGAACAGGATTCAAGGAGATAGAAGATGACGATTGATATTGCATTTAAATTTTTGAATATCTTGGCAGACAAACGGGAAGTCAGAATAGATTTCCGCAAGCAATAAGTGAGAGATAAAATTGTATTATGGTTACAACTAGCAATTGCATCGCTTCCATCCATATCCCATCCTAAACCCCCAGCAGCTTCAACTGTATCAGTTTCATCCATAAAAGTACAGGAGCGACATTTGTACCGATTTCATTCGTAATCTTTCCTCCAGCATGAGAGCTTCATTTGTAGCAGTTCTAGGAATATCTCTTCCTGGAAAATGGGTGCGTCTTTTATATTTGTTTTATTGATACTTCATTTTATAGCCTGGGAGCTTCATTTTTATCAGTCTTTCACACTTATTCTCCTACCGGTGTGATTCATTTGTAATAGATCTCTATCCATGCCCCATCTTACAGACGGGAACTTAAATTGTGTTCGTATCCTATCCGACATTACAAGTGTTTCATTTGTACTAAACACCGTCCATTGATCCGGGAGCAACATTTTTAACAGTTCCATGAATACTCTATCCTTCATTTGTATTAATTTTATCCAGACATCATCTTGCCATTTTTTAAATTTGTATCATTTTGCGCATACGACATCCTATAACCTGGCAGCAGAGTTTTATACCAGTCCCAAAGATAAGCCATCGTAAAGGCCGTTTGCTTCATGCTACAGTCAGTTATGTGCCATGTGGGATACACGCTGAAGCAATTATGTATCTTTCGATACATGACTGACGAGGCAGATTTTTTCTCGCAGTAGGTTACCATTTCTTTCTGCGGTAGACCAGTTGCCATCCAAGGCTAGAGAACACGGTCTGTCCTGCTATTTACCCTTAGCTGGGGGGAGAAGAAGAGGATTCCTACCTTTCCCAAGGGTATTAGCATGTAAGTGAACGTAATGGATTCGACTGGAATTCGAACTCTGCTCGAATCCATTACATCCACTTACGTGCTAATACCCTTGGGAAAAGTATGAATAAGCTTCATGCTTATAAGTTCTATTCATACCCGTTTCTAGTATTCGGGTATTTCATTTGCATTATGTCCATCCATATTTTATTCGACAGAACGGGTGTATCATTTTTAACAGTTCCATATAGTCGATCGTAAGGACTAGGAGTTTCATTTGTAAAAGACTATACGACATCTTACAGCCCTGGTGATTCGTTTTTACTAGTTCCATTCAGACTTCATCATACAGACCGAGTACTTCATTTGAGTTCCAACAATAAGCATCATACCATTAGGATGTTGCATCATAGACCATCCAACAGCCAGGAGCTTTGTTTGTACTAGTCCCATCTATGTTCCAACCTCGAACCTGAGTGTTTCAATTGTACCAATTTAATCCGTAACTCATCCAAAAAAGTCGTTTTATCAGTTCCATCTCTGCATCATCCTACTGCCCAGGTGATTAATTTACAAAAACTCCACCAATACCCTAGCCTAGATCCTGGCAGTCGCAATTGTACCAAAAGCCAGTTCGATCTTACAGTCCGGATGTTTCATTTGTACGAATTCTGTAATCATACAGACAAAAGCGTTGTGAGTCCCAAAATTAACGTACACTGCTGCCAGAGTGTTTCATTTACAACTGTTCAATATGGACCCCCACCCTAGAGCTGGAATTAATTATCTGTATTAAGTTCACTCACATCACTTAAGTCCAAACCACATCATTTGAGGACTTTCAACAGCAGCAACAACCAAAATGGATAACAAATGTATCTCAAAGAGAAAATAATGACACAATCAAGATGTCAACATTCCACACCACTTCAAATAAAAGGAAGGACACCCCCATCAATATGGGAAAGAGCGATAACAGCTACTGGACTTGAGAAACTTGTTTATCTAAAAAAATTATCTGAAGAGAGAAAGATTTTATAAATTTCAGCCGAGAGTAGAGCTGGTGGCTCGGTCAATGAGTCTCAAATATTTCCTTGTAGGGAAAAAGGTAATATTAAAATTACCATTACCATCTACAGCCAGAGTGTTACAGGTGCATTAGTTCCATCCATACCACAAGCTAGAGTCCGAATGTTTCAATTGTACCAATTCTATCCATATTCAGTCATACAGCCTGGCATCTTCTTTTGTATCATTTCCATTTATATCTCATTCTAATCCCCCCCCATTTATCCTGCACCCCCATTTACCGCATCCGTATTTATCGAGTACTTCATTTGTAACAGTCCCATTCATAATACATCGCGAATTTTGGTGAAATTTTGTTAAAGTGAATTTTTGTTACAAGAAATGATGCTTTCGGTAAGGGGGGAAAGAAGAAAAAGAGTGAGGAGGAAGAAGAAAAAGAGAGAAGAAGAAGAAGAAGAAGAAGAAGAAGAAGAAGAAGAAGAAAGAAAGGAAGAAGTAAAAGAGGAAGGAGGAAGAAAACGAGAGAGGAGGAAAAAAAGAGAGAGAAGGAAGAAGAAAAAGATTGGGAAAATGAGATGAAGAAGAAAAAGAGAGAAGAGGAAGAAAAAAGAGAGAAGAGGAAGAAGAAAAAGTGAGAGGAAGAAGAAAAAGAAAGAAGAACAGAAACAACAAAAAGAAAGAGAGAGAGAGAAGGAAAAGAGAGAGGAAAAATAAAAAGAGAGAGAAAGGAAAAAGATAGAGGAATAAGAAAAAAAAGAAAGTAGAAAAAGAAAGAGGAAGGAGAAAAAGAAAGAGAGGAAGAATAAAAAGAGAGAGGAAGAAGAAAAAAGAGAGAGGAAGAATAAAAAGAGAGAGAAAGGAAAAAGAGATGAATAAGAAAAAGAGAGAAAGAAGAAAAAGAAAGAGGAAGGAGAAAAAGCGAGAGAGGAAGAATAAAAAGAGAGAAGAAGAAGGAAAAGTGTGAGGAGAAAGAAAAAACAAACGCAAAGAATTAAAACGAAAATAAATAGTGATATACATCTGAAAGAAACAAAGAAAAATGAAAAATGAATGAAATAAAGAAAATTTAAAGATGGAGACGGGCCAAAAAATCCTAAATTTGAAAGATGAAGAAATAATATGTAAGATGAAGAAATCTAAGAACGAAGGAAAACGAAAATTGGTAAATCGAAACAGGAACCAAGAAAGAAACAAAAATGAATTCAAAGAATAAAAACGTCGGTGAAAACTACAATAATAACAATAATCCACATAAATAAAACACAATGTTTTCCCAAATATATGCAATGGGAGCTCGTTATCTGTAGTAGATTCGTTCCCTGTAGTGGATAAAATTTGCGATAGCAGCAAACCATATATACTATCTAAATACTTTTACAATACACTGTAAACCAACTGGATGACAGAGAGGTCGCAACTCTCCCCATATCACACAGAAATATATTTAGCATAGGCGGTAAACAAACCAAAAATAAAATTAATTAGACAAAAATATTCAGTAGTGAATGACGCAAACCTTTTTCTTTTTTTTATTAATTTGAATTTTGAACTCAAGATCTGATAACTCGAACAGATATTAAAGATGATTATTTTTTTTCACATTTTCATAATGCTATGCGCACGAACGAGAATTTTAAATTTTCTTTTTTTTCTTTTTATTTAATCTAAAACATTTCACCATACCTAACAGATCTCCTGTGTGGGATATCTAATAACAAATGTGATGGAAGCAAAAAGAAAAAGGATTTAAATGAAATCGGCTAGGTTATATGCCAAAAAAAAAAAAATCAAATTTGAAATTCCCAGAATCCCTCATTCGTGCGCATGTGTAGTCGCACTAACGTAATAAATTTAGTCCAATGAAGTCCGGAAGGACGAAACACGTCACAAGAAAACTTTTTTCGACTTGTCATACATTTTTTTTTCTTTCATTATTCTTCTTGAAATATAAAAAGTTTATATATCGGTATCTACTCTCTCCCCACCATATATATATATATATATATATATATATATATATATATATATATATATATATATATATATATATATATATATATATAATTTATATTTGGGCAGTAACCATTCTTTTAAACATGTTTCTTTGAATATGACAGAAAAGGAAAATTTGATTAATTTTTCATTGAGTTTTTCTAATATTCTTACATTTTTCCGTTTGGTGGGTAAAAATTGTCCGTAGTGTCTAGTCCCCCAAGCGCTTTCCGCCACTCCTTTAGCCATTTTCAGGGGTGGGGGTCTGTTGTTGAGTGTTGTTAACTTCTTTTCATAGTTGTCTGATTAAGATGATTAAGCGTGATGTCTACATAACAGTAGCACCGCGAAAATAGTATAGCTGTATTTTGAATTGGCGTTTTTCTATTAAAAAAAACGAAAAGAAAATATGTATATATATTGTGTATTATATTATTATATGTATTATATGTATTATATTATATATTATGTATATATATTAAGTGTGTACTATTCTACGTCATGAGTAAAGTCTACATAGAGATGAGTGAATATCTTAGCTCTGTGATTGAGTGATTCGTTTTGTTCAGTTTATCAATCCTTTGCAAGTTATTTAAAGCCAGAAAAATATATTTAGATTTTAATAATTTCTAATTTTTATGAAGTGCGAGGAGATACTCATGTTTTAGTGATACAAATGATACAACGGGAATCGAAACCCGGCTCTCCGATTAACAATTCTGAGCAATTATCCATTACACCACCTGCACATCCATGTTTATAGCACCTGGTATTCCCAAACGGTCACCCTTCTAGGTACTGACCAACGCTTCTTAACATAGGTGATCGTACGGGAACCGGTGTTAACGTGATGTGGCCGTAAGCCCTCCATGTACTGCAGGCAGGCGCTAGGGTCATGCTTCCCAACACGAAACTTCCCTATGTCCCCGCTTTCTACTACTAAAATTTTCAAAATTTCCCTACCTGGGGGCCACAAACCCTCGAGGGATATTTGTAGGGAAGGGCAGCGCTTTTTTAAATTACCAAAATCAGAGAATTATCCAATTTAAATGAAAATTTTAATACATATTTATTAATTATTTATTTTTATATTTATTTTTTATAAATAGGTCTTTTATTTAATAAAAATCTGAGAAAATGTTATTCTTTTTGTAATAATCACTAATATTTCCATGGCTACATTTTACTCGAAAGAAAATGTTTAAGTAGCAAATTTTGACAATTCCTTAAAAAAAGTTTTACAAAGATTCCAACACAACACAATCGGGATTTTCTTAAAAATTTGTTTTCAAAACAGTGTCTCAGTTTTTGGGAAAATTATTGATGTGCTGAAATCTTTAAAGATTTTTATTTTTTAAGCGATCATTTTCTCGGTTTTGTCTTTCTAGAAATGTAAAGGACAAGACATGTTTTTTTAATTATTAGCCGTGGACTTCTGGTTAGTATTACTATTAGTAAAAAAAAAATCAGAGATCTTTCTTAGTGGATGATCTCGGAATAAAAAAAAAATGATTTTACCGATATTATCACCCTCTTAATTGATTTAAAAGAGATGTTTAGAAAGCAAATTACAATTTAAAAAATAAGCGCTACTAAAATTAGCACTTCTGTACCCACTCCCCAGTCGGTAAGTGAGGGGCACGCGATTGAGAGGTTCGAGGTAGTAAGCATCGGCCCTGTCGATTATTATAGTTGATGATTGACAGTATAATTTAGGTAGAAAAAAGTAAAAAGTATAAAAAAAAAAAAAAACGCTTCTGAAATTAGTCCTTTTGAGGCTCTAACCTTATCGGGGGGATCCTGCGTAGTACGCACCGGACCGGCTATGCAGATACACGATGTATATTATTAGTTGATGACTGACAGTGTAAAATAGGTTAAAAATAATTAAAACAATGGCGGATGGCCATAAAACAGTGCTGAAAAAATGTCAGACGTCACAACAAACTACCCCCAACGCCCCTTACCCCCAGTCAAGGGTTTCGGTGGGAGGACACGCCGGCTATGGCGTAGTGTACTCATCTGGTGACATAGAAAAAATAACACGTGTCTGTACTAAAAGAATGATGTTAATTTAACTGTTAAATCGTAACTGGCTGTCTAGATAAATAATATTGTAAAGTGACTATATAGGGTGTCCATAAAGTCTCTTTACAATTTAAACATATATTGATGATGTATCTTTATCAGATTTGTTCTATGTATTCTGTAGTTATCATGGTGTTTAACGACATTTCATTTGTGTATTTCAGGTATTCTTTTGATGAAAAAGGTATTGTTAAATGAACCTCTAACATTTCCAGACCGGTGGATTGGAATGGATGGCCACTTGGTTCACGAGATATAAGTCCCCTGGACTTCTCTCTATGGGGTTAGGTTAAAAAGATGACGTGCATCGAACAAAGATACGGGACATCACTGATCTAAAGCAAAAAGATCACTGATGACATTGCCACCATTGATGAGGTTATGCTACAATGAACATGGCAAAAAATGCCTTGATGTGCTTTGTGTAACTAATGGTGCCCATACAGAGGTAGATTAAATTAGTTAAATAAAAACTTCAATTTCTATTTCAAATTTTGTAACACTTTCCACGTATTTGTCTGTTCATTTGCTGTTGTAATAAGTTGTAAAGAGACCTTATGGACACTCCGTGTATATATATATATGAGTGTGTGTGATTCTGTGTGTGTGTGTGTGCGTGAGATGAGTATGTGGTTAGAACATTCGCTTTCTCACTAATCTCACTATGGTCGATTTTCTAGGAAGGTGACCTTGACGAGTTATCGACCTGTAGAGCCGATCTTTGGAAAGTGCCTGAAAAAACACAGCACGGGTTGACCCATGGCTTATGAGTGAAATTGGGTAGACGGAACTATTTGGGAAAAGATGGTTGAGCTAGCACGGAGACACAAGTCATCGTGACCGAGGGTTTTGAGCGTACTGGCCTTGTTCAGACTGTTGATCTCGCCATGCGGTCTCTTACCAGAAACCAAGGTACGGTCAGCGTAGTTGTAGTATAGTTGTGGGTGTTGAACAAGCACAGATGTGCCTGAAGAGGCGTCTGCAATAGATTTGCCAACCACCCCAGCAGACAGTCCTACTCTAATATCAGCGACCAGCTATTTCTCTCTCTGTGTGTCTCTCTCTCTCTTTCCATATATATATATATATATATATATATATATATATATATATATAGAGAGAGAGAGAGAGAGAGATAATATATATATATATATATATATATATATATATGTATATATATATATTATGAAATGCATTAAATCAGACATATTTTAATTTGCTTTGATTTAATCCATTTTAAAATAAATACACACACACACACATATATATATATATAAATATATTTTGCATATAAATTACTATAAGTAATTTGTATGTATTATTTATCATCTCTTATTTGCGTCTCTGTCCTTAGACAGAGTGCGCTCAGGGGCTTCTCTGTCAAAGGACAGAGGGGCAACTGAGGAAAATTATACTGAGAGGTGCCCAGCCCTGGGGAACAGTTGCCCGAGGCCGCGCCCTCCCATTGCACAAGAGGGAGGGATCGGTGCTGGCACTGAGGCCAGCGCAACCGACGGTTCCGGGGGCTAAGGGGAATTTTTGTCCCTGCCCGAGTGTACGCGCTCGGGTCCCCACATTAACCCGACCTTGTGTCACATCTCATTCTCGTGGGGGAATGAGTAAACACCGTATATATATATATATATATATATATATATATATATATATAGATCAGTATTGAGAAAATTGTAAGACAAAATGGAAAAAGTTTATTTGTGACGCGTTTCATCTGTTGGGACTTCATCGGACTTGGTTTGTTCACATTGTTTTGATTACACATGTATGAACGAGAGACGCTGGTAGATTCAAAATTTTTTGAAATAATTTTTTGAAATAATTATTGCAATCTAACCAAATTCATCCACAGTTTTTTTCTTTTTCTTTCCATCTTACCAGCGTATGTTGTTCCTGCGCATGTGTAGTCACAACAACGTCAACAAAGTCTGATGAAGTCCTAACGGACGAAACGCATCACAAATAAACCTTTTCCATTTTGTCTTTCAATCCCCCCCTCTCTCTCTATGTATATATATATATATATATATATATATATATATATATATATATATACACAAACTTTGCTTCGTTTATAATTGTTTTCATTTATAGCCCAGGAACAAGGCAGCTGATCAAATGTTATTTTTACTTAATTTCACTGAAGTTATTAAAAATGTATTGAACATAAACAAGAAAATATAAGAATTTGTAATTAAAACTAGCACAATTGCAACATACTTATATATAGGACATCATTTTAAATGGCACAGTTACACTCGTATTAAATTTTAAACAAGATATGCGACCTAAAATTTACTTAATTTATATATCAGTTCGGACCATTCATAGCTATTTACAAACAATCGTCAACATTAAATTTTATTTCAACCATCGCTGTCATAATAATAATTAGCTGTTTAAACCATTAAAGCCCGGTATAAAAATCATCAACAAATCTTCATCTTTTTATTCACTGTGTCTAGTATTTGACTTTCTGCCATACTTTGGTCGCTTCCCCTCCTTCTTATTAAAAGACACTCCTACCACGTTTGTCATTTCACCTCTGCCCAATCCTAGAGCTTCATTTCGTTCATTCCCATCTTCCTCTTCTTACCATTCTCAAAATAGCGAATCCTCATCGCTCTGTGATCCGCCCGCCTTCGACTTGTAGTCCTCTTCAAATCACTCTATTTGCTGGTGGGTGTTGGTTTTTACGGTCAGGTTTCCGTCCATCCTTAGACGCTAGTATGCGGCCAGCTCCCGGAGGATGGCAAAAATAGAAGAGAAGCGTGCTTGAATTAGAACAACAGCAGTAACAACAACAACAACAAGTACAGTATCATCAAAAGTTTTACAGATGGCGCCGCTTTTTGAAGAACTTTCTTAAACATTGTTTCAGAGAATTCAGGACGAACGCCCATTTTACATTAATGTTAATGCGACGAAAACAAACACAATAATAGCATTTAACAAGAACAGTATTTTTATGATAAATAATTTTAGAGTCAGCAAAACAAAATACATTGTAAACACAGCCCAGCTTAAGTATTTTACTTACGGCGAACCAGACCAAGAACTGTAAACTTGACTGAAACGGTGGATTGGTTCTTTGCATGATGGTAAGTTGATGGACGCCGAAGAAAAAAAGGCAAAACTAGCATAAAAACGTAAATGAAAAGGGTGTGTCCGAAAGTGAGTGAGTAAGAAGAAGAAGAAGAAAAAGAAGAAGAACGGGTGGATTGAAGGGGATGTGACTAATAGATAAGGGGGTAGACAGAAGTGAAGGAAAAAAAAGAGGAGAGTCGGTGACGTGGGAGATTAGGGGTTTTGTATATGGATGTCAACAATCCTCTTTCCCAGCGCGCTAATGCTTTTAGTATTGCCTCGTTGATGTCTGACCCAGAGCTGGGGAACGGCACCCTAGGCATTGATGGGACAGGTTCTTTTAATACGGTCCTCACAAGCGCCCTCGATCAGGCCAATTCCACTTTTTCTTCTTCGGAGAACGACACCAATAACAACAGCATAACCTGCACCAGCAATCATAATAATAATAATAATTGCCAACAACAACAACAACGATCTTTTATACAAACACATCCTATTTCTCTTGCTTCAGATTCCCACCAACAAAACCCTCATTATCTCCGGCACCCTAGCACCACCACCACCACCACCAACAACAACAACAACAACAACATTGTTAATAACAACACGACCAACCCCGAATGTAGTAAAATTGAGGAAAATCATCAATCTAATAACAACGATAGCCAACAAGGAAGGGTTATCGCAAATACACCGGCAGTACCTCCCCAAAACAGTACGGACTGTTATTTTGAATGGGAACAAAAGCTGCATCAGATCTTTTACAACAGCCAAAACAATAATAATAATAATAAAAATAATAATAATATTTCTCAAGTGACTGACGGAATTTCCTATCAAGCAGAGCACATAACAATGAAAAACATAGAAGGTTCGTATTATTATTGTTTTAATTATTCTTTTCTTCGACTTACAAGATATTTTTTTCATTACTTATAGCGAAAGCAGTCTAAGGATGCGTTCTACGAAAGAAAAGAAAATCCGTTTTTCTGTTACCCGTTTCTACAGTGGATGTACATTGTAGAGACATACATCTAAGACAGAACAACAACAATTAATGACACAGATGAGAAAGCAGATTATGGATTAGAAAGAAACTAATGATGTTTACAAACAGGTGATTGACAAGTATTTTAGGAGCGACTCATATTTAAGTCAAGAATTAAAATACAATTTATTAATAAGTAAATGATGTTTTATTCGATATGAGTATGTATGGGCATGAGTTTCGAGAAGACAAAAACATAAGTACTATATTATTATTATTATTATAATTATTATCATTATTATTATTATTATACCGTAAATAAGAAACATGCTGAAGGTAACATCAGTCAGCTAAGTTTTAAACTTTTTACTTGTATTAATTATATGATATGAGATAACGAAATATATGTATATCAAGAATAATATTGAGGAAAAATGTAGGACTAAACGCGCCTTAAGAAAAAAAAATATATATATATATATATATATATATATATATATATATATATATATAATTTAATATAATGTAACATATATATACATATATATACATATATATATATATATGTTAAGCCTCAACCATTTTTCATGTGTGCATCTATAGTAGACACTTTTAGCAGCTGCTTAATTTCTTCTTTATATATGTATGTGTGAGTATATAAATATATATATATATATATATACGTATGTATATGTGTGAGTATATATATATATATACGTATGTATATGTGTGAGTCGTAAGAACTAAGCACTGTTATTTGATAGCGAGCAGTTGGGTGCATTTTGTGTTAAAACATGAAAGGACAACTAAACAAGGACTTATGACCGTTTATGTATGGAGATAGGCGGGTATTGGAGTTCCACTCGAAGCAATCAAAAAGATTGTAGAGCGCAACAAGTGGGAGAGTTTTTCCTCCAATTCTATACATTTAATTCATACAAACAAGCAAAAAGTTAAAAATAAGTATCTATCTATCTATCTATCTATCTATCTATCTATCTATCTATCTATCTATCTATCTATCCCATCCTATCTATCTATCTATCTATCTATCTATCTATCTATCTATCCCAGTCTGTCCATCATCTATCCATTATCTATCTATCTATCTATCCCATTCTATCTATCTATATCATATCCATCTATCTATCTATCTATCTATCTATCTATCTATCTATCTATCTATCCCATTCCATCCATCATCCATCTATCTATCTATCCCAGTCTGTCCATCATCTATCTATCTATCTATCTATCTATTCATCCATATCTATCCTATCTATCTATCTATCTATCCCATCCTATCTATCTATCTATATCATTCATATTCATCTATCTATCTATCTATCATCTATCCATCCCCATCTCATCTATCTCTCCATCTATCTATCCATCATCATCATCTATCTATCTATCTATCATCTATCTATCTATCTATCTATCTATCTATCATATCTATCTATCTATTCATTCATCTATATCATCTCCCAGTCTGTCCATCATCTATCATTATCTATCTATCCCAGTCTGTCCATCATCTATCTATCTATCATCCATTCATCTATTCATTCATCTATCTATCTATCTATCTATCTATCCCATATCTATCTATCTATCTATCTATCCCAGTCTGTCCATCATCATCCATTCATCATCCATATCTATATCTATCTATCTATCTATATCTATCTATCTCATCTATCTATCTATCTATCTATCATATTCATCCATCTATCTATCCATTCATCTATTCTATCCCATCTATCTATCTATATCTATCTATTCAGTCTGTCCATCTATCTATCTATCTATCATTCTCATCTATCTATCTATCTATCCCAGTCTGTCCATCATCTATCTATCTATCTATCATTATTCCATCTATCTATCTATCTATCTATCTATCTATCTATCCCATTCTATCTATCTATCTATCTATCTATCTATCCCAGTCTGTCCATCATCTATCTATCTATCTATCTATCTATCTATCTATCTATCTATCTATCTATCCCATTCTATCTATCTATCTATCTATCCCAGTCTGTCCATCATCTATCTATCTATCTATCTATCTATCTATCTATCTATCTATCTATCTATCTATCTTAGACTGTAGACATGCATGTAAGAGCAAATTTTAAAGTGACATATTTTTGGAATTTCGAATAGCTATGTTTCAAGTTGAAAAATCATTAGTAAGGTTGTGTGCATAAAATCTGCAATACCTATATAGAAATATCTCACTTTTGATTCCGCGTGTACCTCAGTTTGAGAATAAAAACATGACAAGGACAAATTCCTTGGATAGTTGTCGATGAATAATTCGTACAGGTATCTGTAACTTTGTTGATTAGATTAGTAACGGTAGTTTGTTTCTACATTCTTCATAATATCATTTTCAGATTTTCTTTCATGAGCTCTGTTCATCACGTAAGGCAAATAGGAAGGACTGCTTAACGTTGACCATTACTACCATGAAAATCAGCATCCGAGGTCATAATTTTTACCTGGGCTAGAGAAGTACACAAAAAATAACTCACACAAGTGGTAAATAAAACTTCTTTTGAGAAAGACAGTATAATATATATATATATATATATATATATATATATATATATATATATATATATATATATATATATATATATATATGAATATCAAACACTTAAAATTCCATAGGTAATAATTTTTATTTCATGAAAGCTGTAACAAATATCTTTCAATCTTTTCAGACCTGCAAACCAAATATTACTTATGGGATTTTAAATGTTTGATATTCACACACACACACACACACACACACACACACACACACACACACACACACACACATATATATATATATATAGCTATCAAACATATATATATGTTTGATAATTAATATATATATATATATATATATATATATATATATATATATATACATATACATATCTATATATGTATATATATATATATATGTTTGATAATTAGTAATGAATATCAAACACTTTAAAATCCTATATGATTTTTATTTCATGAAAGGTATAAAAATAGTTTTCAATCTTTCATGCCTCCAAAACAAAAATGAATGATACGATTTCACAGATATCATATTTATGTCCGATATATATATATATATATATATATATATATATATATATGATATGTATATATATGATATATACACGATATAGATATATATATATATATATATATATATATATATATATATATATATATATATATATATGTCAAATATATATATATATATATATATATGACGTCAAATATATATATATATATATATATGATGATATATATATATATATATACATGATATATATATATATATATATATATATATATATATATATATATATATATATATATATATATGTAAAAATATATATATATATATATATATATATATATATGATATGTCATGGATATAAAAAAGTGAGCACCTTTATATTTACATGATATTCTTTGATATTGAAAACTTTTACCCATACATATAGCATGCATTAAAAACTATTTTTGGCTTATATATTATATATATACATAAATTTTTCCTTTTGGTGGGAGTAAGAGATTGTTTGTTATTCTTCTGGTCTCTTGTCCCAATCGCTTTCGGACACTTCTCTATTCATTTTTGTTCTTCATTGTTATCAATTAATTGTTAATTGTTACCTGGCCATCTGGCATTCCCAGAAGCGGAATTGCCGAGGAGATTTGAGTAATATTTCCACAGCTGCTGAAATTCCACTTTAAACTTCGACCTTGTGCCACATATCTATCCTTCACGTATCTATACATTGATTGACCGTTTTGTTGTCTGCAAAACTGTTTTATGTACATTTGGGCACTACTTAAATAAAATGGTTGGTTCACTAGTAAAAAAAAAAAAATAGAGAAAAATATTTTGGAAATAATTTTTCAAGATTAGAATTCTTAAAATAAGCCTTAGGCTTCGATATTTGTTAAAATTGAAAAATATTGATTTTTTCTTTTACCATTTTAGAATTTAGTCCTGTTCCTAATATCCAAAATCGAATATCGATTCTGTCTTTTACAGTTATTTACAAATCTTAAGTTTGGAAGTGTGATAGCATCATTAATATCTAGTCTACACATTTCTGAATTTTTTAACCATTTCTTTTTAATTATTTTAATTTTTTTGATTTTCCCCGATGTAACTCGATATACATATTTGAGGTTAATAATTATTAATCCTAAAGAAAGAATAACTGTACTTAATTAATATTTCTAAAGTTTTGTTCTTTAATTACATATTACGTTTAAAGGACAATTTTTGTAATAACCCTCTAAAAAGCGTGTTTTTGTACG